ATAATTCCTTTTGAATATTTAAACAGTGGAACAATCACTACACTAATGATTCCGTTATTGTTTGATATTGTGTATTATTAAACATTTTGGATCATTAAAATTATTTCTCGAAATTGACGACGTTTTAAAAGTTCTTATTTTTTTCTATAGACATTTGCAGTTTATGCTTTGAATATTTGAAATTCAGCAACGTGAGCCCAAATTTTAAACATACCTGTCATCATACTAAAATGATCACAATTATTATTTAAGTGATCCGTGAATAATATTAAACATTGAAGACTTTGTAATGACGTACTTGTATAAGTAAGTCATGACAAAGTTACATTCCAAACATAATACGTTTTACTAGCTTTATGCATTTGTATTATATTGTGGTATTCGACGTAGTTTAGCTAAAACGAATACCTATTCTCTTATTATTCTTCTACACATAAATCCTTTTCTGAGATAGATGCGTTTCTACTAACAAATACCTATACAATATACTGTATATAATAAGATGTTACATTTGCTGGGCAAAAAATTAATTGATTAAAATTGATTGAACAAAAGTTAGCTAAGTATTATTATTTTGCTTAATATTTTTAGATAGTAACAATTATTAATAAAAGCATCTAATTTCTATACATTTAAAATAACTAGTAAATAAATAGTGTCCATGCAATTTATTTTTTATATTGTGTAATTTGTGTTTCAAGTCAGTTATAAAATATTCATGATATTTTTAATATTGTGTAGTAATAATGTGTATAAAATATTTTTGCAGTTTGTTTTTATAGTGACATAATTTCTTATAGTTTTCTTATGAATGTATATGCACTGTACACTTTTTCGTATATATAAAGTGTCTTCTCAAATGTTTGATAAATAAGTAGGGCATTATTTTGATTTTATAAATATAACGATTATTGTGATTGGTTCAAAATCTGAACTAATAATACAAATCTAGGGTGAATAAGGGAAGTGAAAAACAAAACTTGACACTCGTATCTCTATATTCTGTCCATGCTTTTTGTAACATTAAATAAATAAACAAAACGAATATTTTACCTGCCTAGGTTATGTTTATACCATCGGCATATAGGGAGAGAAAAATAGAAATAACTTACAAAAATAATAATGGCTGATAATATTCATAATAACTCACGAACAGTTTTTTATTTTAATACGCTCTTTATACTAAAGTTTTTTTTGTTGAAATATTTCAAAACTATTCACCTTTATAATGAATACTATATTCAATGTTCACAAATGTAAATGAGTGTTATACATTTTATGATTTTTATAAATAAAGTTTAATTAAATTAATCAATTTTTAAATAAAATCAAAAACATTGAAAAATACTATCTTCAAATGATATTAAATTAAACTTATAATTTCATACGCAAAAACAAAATCTTATAGTCTGTGCATTGAAAATAGTGTTTATAAATATGCGTACAACCAAACATTTGAATTTGATTATTTAAATTATTTAAAGTTTTGAAAGCTCGCGGAATCTTAGTATCTTTAGTATTGCATTGATTATAGTACATTTACATTTTACAAAACTTTTATTTTAATTAATGTACCTATTGTTCGTTTGACATTCGATTCACATGAAAAAATTGTCTACCAAATAAATGTTTGATAAAAAAATATATAATAATAAAAATAATAGTAATGCTATTATATGTCAACAAAACCAGTCATTTTTACTGTGATTATCACGTGGATGAATATATGTATTGATTATTAAATAATAATATGTGGCATATTGTTATGATTGATAGCTATTATATCGTCTGAGCCGTGGAAAAGTTTTCGCTCAGTAGACTTTAAACAGTACAAAACCAGGAAAGTCGAAGTAGTTTTCGAGTGTAAATCGTCACTTGAGTAGGTCACTGTAATAGACACGTTTGATTATTAATATTCAATGATAAATTATTGCATACGAACAACGGGCCTGAGCAGAAATTGTCTTGTCAATCTCTATTTTTGAGGGTACTTACAATTTATTAGTATAACTGTTAGTAATTTATTTTGCTATTAGTAATGCGGTATGTAGAATTTTAGTCACAAATCTCACATGTGTATATTATGATATATTATTAACAATTATGATATTATATCTTATAAATATGTTTAAGTTTTTAAGTCAATGCCGATGTACTGAAAAACTGCTTGATAATAGGTTTACGTGAGAATATCTTATATCATGAAAATGTTAACTTTTAATTCTCATAAAACATTAATATGTCTAAACATTTTTAACTAATCTTTTTTTTCAGTGAGTATAGAGCTTATGATAAATTGTGTATTATATTTTCAAACCTTTTAAGGTTTGAAAATTAAACAATTTTGAGAATTTTTAACATCAAAGTAGTTTGCGAATTTCATCACTTTGATGATTTTCATAAAAATGTGACTGTGTTTTAATTTTGTTTCTAATTTCTGGAAGAATAACTTATGAAAAACCCTGTATTAAATTGTCATGCGTTTTTAGACTTACCAACAAAATTGTATCATCGTAAATTTAATTAAACTAAAAAAAAACATTGATCAACAGTACAAAAAAGCCAAAATATTTTGAAATGTACACTGAATTCTTTAAAAATTCTAATATTATATGTATTATGGTATATCCTGTGAAAACGGAAAATATCAAGTCTCTAAAATTATTCGTTTTTAAGCAACAACAGAAAAGCAAACTAGATTTTGACAAAAACTAGTGTTACGTAAATATACAAATTAATATAAATTTCCAAAATTATTTTTAGATTTTTTTTTCTTATAAGCTCAGTATCTAAAATAACTAAACTATTCTTAAAACTGATTGGTCACGAAGGCTGATCCATCAGGTTAAAAATACTGTCATTCAGTCTCTGCTAAGTACACCTTTAATCAAGTGATGATATCAATAAATAATATTGCTACGGTTGTCGGAACTTAAGTCCTTTTATAGCACTGTTTCGCTTAGATTATATGTCAAATAATATTAAGAATAACTCAATTGTATAGTAACAGATTCCGTGTTACACTTAATTCACCGTATGGTTAGCATTCCAGAGACTTACTAATGTGGCAGAAAAAAGTCTTTTTATACGTAGATACAAATATTATGAAAGAGAATGAGTTATTTCGAATAAATACGGTTGAATATTATAAATAAATGCGAACAAGTATTTAATGATTATAGAATATAACTACAATACCTATGTATTACAGTTTTTTTTTCGAAAAATAAATTCAAACGAACATTTTTATTTATTTTTATAAATATAATATTCATGGGGTGCCATTGGATAAATTCTCTTTACCTTCAACAAATCTCATCCAATTTGCGTGTTATTAAACATGTAAATTATGATTGTAAATGTACGAAATATTGTTTCAATAAAAAAAAGTATAATATTAGCTATTGGGTACTAATTAGTCAAAAAAGATAGTAAATCGAAAATATGTATATACTGTACACATATAAAAATATTATGAACATTTATTATTATTATATTATAGACGCATAGTTCACAGACATTTTTATATGATTTAAACTGAAAACTCAAAAAACCCGAAATGACTATCTTAACAATATATTAAAATGGATGCACAATGACAGTAGGTAGATTTAAGATTTTTTTAGATTTTTTTCAACTATCGAATCCCAGGTCTTTTAATAGGAAAGGAGGACATAATATGTTTTACTCGAAGCCTGAAAAACAAAGAATACCTAGTTTTATTTTTTATTTTGATAGCTGCGTCCATAAACGTATAGGAATCTAGTACCCTTGTGGATAAATTAACTCATTGACCGATTTTTTTTCGTCTATAGTTTCAAACACTACAAATTATATTCAAATTTCAAATATGTAGTTATTTAAAACCTATGCCTTTAAATTGTTTCCCCGTTAAAGATAAAAAAAAATATGTACGTATACCATATTATACACTACAAGTTTAGATTCTAACCAATTTACTTATTATTAGTACTTACAAAAATGTTTTTTTTTATAGTTTAAAAAAAACATTAATCTGAAATATGTGATTTATCGTACATAAATACATTTACGACACACTACATTAATAAAAATATACACTTATTTTAGTGATTTTACACTTACATATATTTTTAAAAAAATATTAATTTTGTGTTTGATCAACAGGAATTATGGTCCTTTGATTTTTTAGTTGAATTTAATTACATCTATCTTTAGGACTAATTATAATTATATTTAGAGCCTAACGCATATGTCATATAATCTAAAATGTTCACATTTAACAATGCGCAATAGCTGTTGAGCGTTTTCTTGAATAATAGAACAAAACTAAAGAAAAATACAATACATATACAATATTTCGAATCTGCTTTTTAATACCAACTGAGTAAATACGATTTGTTTAAGTTATTAGTTATTACTGACGACTTATTATTTCTAACTGACTATTTAAACGAAGGAAACTAAGAAATAATTTTCTAAAAAACGCATTTTAGATATTTTATTTGTTAAACATCCTTGACCATTACTCTACTTATTATAAGTGTAATAACATGTCAGATGTGAATTATAGTATTAAGTCAAAACTATTAAATAACTTACAAATAAATAGGTAAGTGTAGGTACCTATTAAATGATGTAAGGAAAATTCGCGTCCGAACAAATATCACAACGTCATCCAAACTAGGTCAAACCAACTTCATATTTTTCTCTATTTTCCAGACAGTTGAAGACGTGTTTTTATCATAGGTGACATTATTATTAATTTATCATTTTTTTATGTTCAAATCCATTTGGTTTCCGCGTAAGGTTGGAAGTCGGAACACCTATAATGAGGTCCGCAGAACTAGGGTCGTCGGCGTTCTTTCAAACCAGGAGTCCGGTGATGGTGTGTACGGTCAGGGTCAGAACGTCATACAACACACTGTGCACGGGACCACTGAAGTGCGTTAGTTGCATCCAAGGGGCAAGGGTGCAAGGAGGCGGAGGGAGTCGGAGGGAGTGCGTCTGTCGATGCGCTACCCGTGTTAGGACCGTTCCAGTCTGCGTTGAATGTCGCGTGCAAACAGGTGCGAGGATTTCGCTGCCGATGACTCGAACACGTACATGAAACGTAAGTTCTTTTACGCTCATTACGGCTTGCAAAATTGGTGCGTTCACTATAGTATACGGTAAGAAAAATATTTAAAATAATCCAAACAATGCATCGTTTAAAAAAATAAACAATTATTTAGGATAAATAATAATCGTAATGTCTATTACCTTCTTTTTTTTTTTTGCTCGTTCATTTCCATAAAATGTAATAAAAAATTCAATATTGACGTGTATATAAAAACGATTAAGCAAAATGATCATTTTTTTTTTATATAACAATATTTGTATTTTAAACATTTAAAAAAAGTATATTTTTATTACCAAATATTATTTTCGGTTTCATTATTTTCCAATTATTATTTTTAATAATAAAATATTGATAAACATAATTTAACACCTGTTTTATTTCAAATAGTTTTTAAACGTAGTCGTTAGTCCAAATATAAAATATAAAATAACAATAAAATTGATGAGTAAAATGACAATGTTTGATACAACACATTAATTTTTAATAATATTCCATTAGAACTCTATGGCATTTCAACTAACTATGTGCATTTGTTTGGTTCGCAATACAAACTTTTATTAATTATTAATTGATTTATATGTATATCTACATTTTATGAGTAAATTTATTATTTTGTATGTGTTATTTTAATAAAATTTAAATTTTTAAGGTAAGTAAAATAAAGTATTAAATACTGTTAATATTTGGTTTTAATCACGTGAGTTCTTTATAAATGTTACCAACTACACTAAGCTTGATAAAAATTAAGAAAATGAATGTTTATTGAGATCCTATCAATTAGGCATTAGCTTAAAGTTGTAAGTTCATTATTTATATGCATTATTATAGTATTAATAACTAAGAACTAGATAAAATATAGAATTACTTTGGTACATATACTTCAACAGCCTTCATTAATTTAAATTTAAAAACCATACATTTTATTTAATACGATATCGTTCATATTATTTATTTTTTTATACACTTCGATAAAAGTTCTTTATATTTAATAAACATGAATTATGAACACTTGTTTAATTGACTTAATTTGTGTTTGATCATTTAAAAATGTTGTTTTTTTTTTTTATAAGTAAAACAAATTATATGATAATATGATGTATATAGTATATATATTGTTTGTAAATACTCTTACCTACATAAAATATAAAGGTATATAATAACACGATGGTGCATATAACTGCAACATTGTTTAGAGTATTTATTAATAGTTCAACAATGGTGAAAATTAAGCTAATTGAGTAGGTACCTAATGGTCAGTTTAAATTAGCTAAGGGTCAAAAGTTGCATCTGTGAGAATAATATTTTATAAAAAAAGTAATTTATCTTTATACAATACAAATTAATGGATTTTATCACATTGTCTTATCTGTGTTCGTTTGGACAAATGGACAATGGCATTTGACTTAAGTTCAGCTTAAAATAATTTTCATTTTCCTGCAAGCTTATAACTTCAGGTATGGATGTGTGTCTCGTTTTGCAGTGTTCTAATATCTCAATAGTTATTTCTTTTATTTTTTTTTTTAAATTCTATAATGTTCATTTTTTTGCTAGGATTATAATAGTTGGTATCAGATAATTTATTTGAAAAACCAGACATTTCTTTGGTATGAATAAAGTAACGTTTCTCTGGAGTTATAGGTGAATTATTTTATAATAATATAAAGATAAATGTCTATACTAAATTAAAAATAAATTAAAAAATTGAATTTATTTTATAGTGATTAGTTTAATATTTACTTAGTTATTAATATTGATATTCTTTAAATCACCATAATTATTTACTACAACTTGTATGGTTAATGACGTAACACAAGTATTCACTCACTTTATAAAATTTAAAACAGCGAAAGGGTATTATGGATTCATATACAACATTAGTATATAGATTTTGGGATTTATCTATCTCTTTTAAATGTTGCTTGTATTGGAGATAGAAAGTTTAGAAAAATAAAAATAATATTATGAACTAACGTACTTATTTAATAATTATTATGTATGCAATAATTATATAAACTGTGGTGAAATAAATAAACAAACATTAAATGTATAATCATATGAGTACATATAATATATACTAGTATTTAAAATAATTACTTATTCTGAATATTAATTATAATAAAATCTCAAATTAATTAATACATAAGCATTAACAACGATTTAGCATATTTTGGTGATATAGGTAGGTAAATACAATTTTTTTTTGTTTCTATATCAATGAAGTTAAAATGTATATAAATTATCTACTCTGAAGTAATCCAACGCAACCTTTTTTTAAACAATTTTTAAATAATTTCTTTAAATAACATTTTTCATTCGTAACTTATACATTAATATATTTTGTATAATTACTGGAACTATGAGAGGAAAGTGAAAGTTAAGTAGGGAAAGTTCTTAAAAATGTTAAATATAGCCATTGATATATTTTTTTTTAAGTTAAAAATATAATGCCCTTTAATAATATTTAAAGTTTGAAAAGTCATTAGTTTTTACACAGTCATTAACAAGTGTATGACAAAACCATTTGGCATATTATACAGATAATTAGATAACATTAATTGTATATTAAAATATGTAAATTAAATATAGAATCCGTTGAATTATAAATCCTGTGATTTCATTAAATATAGCAATTTCTAATGTATGTAACATAAATTATAATATTACATTACCATAAATATTAAATGTTTAACATCAGCTTAAATATCATCACATAATTTGCAATCAGTTGTTTTATTATCTGTATGTCTATAAAACTTTTATAGGTATGTTAATGTTGTGATTTGTCTTGAAATTTACTCAATATCGACTTTTACTTTACTAATATCAGCCTAACAAATCCCCGATTTTGTAGATTTAAGACATTTCAAGTAAAATTTTAAAACTAAAAAATTGTAATTCTGCAGGTGTACAACGTTGCCATAATATATGAAAATAACGAAGAAGATATATTATCTTTCAGATTTTTTATATCAACAATACTTAGTCGTTCGATATGGTTGACAAAAAGTACACAATTTCATATAGAGTATAAAGAACATGTGGGAGTAAAACAGAAGTAACGCACGCACGTGAGTCACACACATTAATGATCATTATTTACTAGGTAAGCTCACACTTTTTGGTATATTGCATACTATATGGAGCTCCTTTACAACGGGCAGTATCCAATCCTCTTAAAAGTTTAAATAAAAAACAAAATAGAAAATAATTGTAATTTAAGTAGATAGGTAATGTATATTGTATATTATGTAACACATGCTACAAGCTCAGTCGTCGTGTGGTTTAAAGAAATTCACACACCTTTGTCATGTCACTGGCGTTTGAATTTTAAAGGTAATACAAATTTTAAGCTGAAAAAAACAAAACACTTAATGGTAGTAAAGGAGAATTTTAATGTTTTATAGCATCTAAACAGAACAAAAGTAAAACCACATACCATATATTCGGGACGTTATGCGAATAAGCATTGAAGTAATACATTATGCACATAGTGTACTCATAATAAGTATATACTGGGTTATTCTTAGATATGAACAATTAATACATTTATTATTATAAAAAAATTAGTAATTTTTTTAAATATTACTATATTTGCATAAGTCATTGCGAAGTGACGTTAAAAAAAATGTTCTAACTCCCTACGACTCATCTAAACTTTAAACATACATGTCAGTCAAAACTACAATTAACTACTTTTTCGAAATTTGATTTTCAATACATTAACATTCTTTGGAGAATTTTTACTTTGAAATATAAAATTAAAAATACACGTTATCATTAAAAAAGAGAAAACTAAAAAAATTATAAAGATAAAAATAGTAAAAAGTAAGCAATTTTTTCCATTATTTTGTTTTATAGCTAATTCAGATTATACGGGAAAAAATATTTACCAAAGTACTTTTCGATATACGAGTATTAACTGTTAAAAGTAATACTTATAAACGCATATTGTAATTGCGTAGGTATAACAAAATAAATAATATAACCCCTATAACAGTATAAATTCTCTTTGTATTCAACTTTTAGAAAGATTTTTTTTCTGCGTTAGCGTAAAGCTCAACCTTTACGTAACATGTAATTTATTTAAAGAGTAATGCAATTATAACTGCTAATAAGTGAACTATGGGCAGTTGATAATGTAATTACAAACATTATACCTATCCGTTTTACTGCTTATTTAAAACATGCAATACTTACACCTAATACTCGAGTGCTTTTATTTATATCTATATTATTTGATTTTTTTTAAATAATCATTGATGTTCACATTAAATGCAATTTGAATGTAGTACACTTAACACTATTTTGGTTTTCAATAAATTAAAATATTATTGTTTGTTTATTAAAACAAATATTTTGTGTAATTAAATTGTAGTATTATATTTTTTATCTCGAGAGGTCAATTTAATTAAAAATAAATAAACAACTCGTTATACGTTCTTATTAAGTTGCAATAAAAATTATTGTACGAATCATTACTAAATACTTATTTAAAATTGTTAAGAACGAAATCAAGTCATAAGAACCAAAAATAATGAGCTGTTCTTTTTCTAATGAACACCTATAGGATAATTGATAAATAATAATATTAGAAAAAATTCTTGGTCTGTATAGGAATATAGCTTTTTGAGTTTTAACTTAAAGAAATGTATGTATTTCACCTCGACCAGATTTTAAATTCTATGATAAATTAAAGTTCCCTACCTACTGTGTGGACATAATTAGTAGTACCTCCATAATAGGAACATTCATATAATAATACATAGGTACATCAGTGGCATAAGTAAACTAACTTAAACGTGAAACAATATTGAAAAGTGAAATCAATTGAATATAATACAAGTAGATAGATAGATGATATTAAATCATTTTCATCTCGACAATAATCATTTAGATAATCTGAGAAATAGTATTTTGGATTCTGATCGGAGCGATGTGTATTTTGTATTTTTATTTTTTTTTTTTTATAATCACTTTTTGGAGCAGTGAAAAGTTTTAAATTCAACTTAGAATGTGGTCTCAAATAAAAAAAACTATATCTGGGTGGTCCTAAGGGTTGTAAAAAATAAAAATACTCAATAACTACTTTGAAAAAAAATTGGAAAAACGAAAAAAATACATTTTTATATTTGATCATTTCTTGAAGTATAATTATTTAAGAAATAAAATAAATAAAATGTTTAAAATGAAAAATTACAGAAATCGTTCAATAAATTGTCTGTAATTTAATTGGAAACTTTTTAATTCTTCAATTTGTTTAATTGTTTCAAATGTGACTGAATTTAAATAATTTACCAAAGAAAAGGTGTGTAATAATTATCTTCAAGCTTAAACATTGTATTACATAATGTTCAATTAATGGATGATAAATAAAAATTGTATAAATGTTTTTAATTTAATGTCATATTCTATTACACAATACGTATACTTCTTATTGTAACTGTGGTATATATTTTTAAACTGTTTGAACTGTTTGAAGTAAAACAAAAATGTTCAGCATGTTTTATAAGTTTAAGGATTATTAAAGGAATATTTTTAGGTTTTTTTAGAGAACCTTAAAATCTAATCTTTAAGTTATTACTTATAAAAAAATAATTTAGTAAGAGCAATATAAATGTGTATTGTAATGTCCTTAGAAATATATGCTGACAGACAGTCTCCGCTCAGAATCGTTTTTTCCTAGTAAGGCAATGATTTTTCATTGAATTTAAACTTACTAGGTACTCTAGATTCCTACTAAATGGCACAACGGCAGAGTAACTTTCCCAGTTTTTTTTTTTTAATTGTATTGATCATATACATACATTGTTTTTCATATAAAATGACAATGTGTTTTTACATTTTTACATTTAATACATTTTTATTCATCATTAACATTTATTCATCTTTACGGCAATACTCAAATATAATATTAAAATAATTATACCAAGTAACTTTTAATTTGGAGTAAAATATAAGGCTTAGTACAACAATAAAAGTATTTTAATAAAAACACATGAAAAATAAAAGTCAATTATTTTTATTTTTCATTTTTCGATTCTCTAAAAGTTTCTTTCTTATCACATGTGAACTCAATTTGTAGGCAATTTTAATTTTCCCAATGTTAAGATATAAAAGACAAAAGCTCAAAGAAAAACGTTAAGTGTAGTTTTATATTGATAACTCAATTTAAATGAACAACTTTACTTTCTTAATTATTAAAACGAGAATAATAACTAATATAGATAGAGTGTATATTATATATATATATAATATCTTTTCATAAAACTTATATGCCAACATTAGTAGTATTATATTATTTTTTACCAAACTGTTATCATTATAACAGTTAAAGAAGAAAATTATTATTATTTATCGTTAAAAGATTTACATGCTTACATTATTATAAGTATTTTGGGTTTCTTATTTAACATTAATATTTTAGTTAATATAATTAATTATTATATTTTGGATCGTATTTCAGATGTTTTAATAAAATGTACTGTAAATTACAGAAAAAAAGCCTATAACCATGGGGAAATAACTGTATATCAATATTGCCAAAAAATATAGCATGAATCAAGTTCCTGTACCATAAATATTGTACTCATATGGCTTATTGGAGAATCAATGTCGTAAAGTTATGATTTTTAAAACAAAAAAATACTATAGGAATATAATATCATACTATTAAATCTATCAGGTACTTACAATAGTTCCATTGATATTAAAACCATTGATTACAACAAGGTTATATGCTGATGAGTTAATTAGTTAATTTTATTTCGAACTATTGAGCTAACGAGTACCTATCTATTATTATTAATGATTACCTGAACGAATTCAATTACGGGTTGATCAGTAAATTTGACTTATCCATGTTTTAAATGTCTTACTGTGGCCTGTTGTTCAATGTAGAATGGCAATATCACAATCAATTATGTTAACTGAAATAATACGGTTAATGTTATTCTTTATAATCCTTTAACTTTTATCCTTATTAATAAGGTATTTCCAAAATCTTATCAACTATTTATTAACTCGTTTAATTTTTAAATTCATCAAATATCAATAGGTTATAATTTATAAATACTCAATGTAGTATTATAATTGTGATATTATTAATTAATTACATGTTATGATTAAATCAGCCACGCGTTACAAATTGTTTTATGTACTTTAAGGTGCATTCTAAGATATGTAGGTGGATACATTTCATCGATAATATCATAATAGCTCAACCTGTTCCGGCCACATAACAGTTTTCATCAATATTGGACGTACCTACCTAGTGACTACCGCTATCAAACCACGATATATATTTTGTTGGGGTGTCTAATTATACACTGTTCCGAATCAAAACTTAGGTTACACATAATATTTACAATCAATATTAACAAGATTAGTAATTTAGCAATATGGAAATCGTATTAGGGATATTATTACATAATGGTCAATAAACACAAAACTAGGTTCGATTCAAAGATAGAATGTATTATGTATCTAATAATTTAAATTGTTATTATTAAAAATGTTAACATTAATGCAGTTGATTCTTGGACTACCCTTTTTTTTCTTTAAGTAAAAATGTATGTATTTTGCCATAGTTAACATAAAAAGAAAAAAAAACAATAATACAACCAGTGCTATAGAATATGATATTAAACCTTTTTGACAGACTAATCGCGGGATTTAAATGATTTGTGTATGTGTTTTGCATAACTATAGTATTATTTATTATTCTAGCATACATAAAGATAAAATATAAAAGTATATTTTTATCTATCGGAATTTTCTCAAACTTTAAAATATCTTAAGAACTTAAACAATGATTTTTTTTGTACTTGTATTATTATATAATATAACCGTATAGATTATATCTAATATGATTGACATATTATTATACAATACAATCAGAAAAACAACAAACTAGTTTTTAAAAAAAAAACTTTTAATTAATTTAATTTCTACAAACTCTTTTACTATATGTATAGATTGATATACAGAACATATACAATAATAATTACAATCTTCACATGATATTATCAGATGTAGATAATAAGCGATGAAATATAACATTTGTCACAACAGATTACCTAGTCAATTTATATGATTAACTTAGAA